CCCCAAAACCCCAAAACCCCAAAACCCCATAAATAGAGGATAATTTCATCTAAGTGAATATATTTATAATATTTTGTTAATATATTTATTAATGGGAGGTCTTTGTACATGCTCTTAGCCTGGGAAATCCTCAGGAATCCAAGATAAAAGAAATCATTTTTCAATAATGGAAGAACACCAACTTAGAAGATAAAGAGATAGTGTTATTTCTTATACTCACTCAACAGATAACGGAAAGAGTTTGGTGGTTTCTACTTCAAAGGACGATGTTTCTACTTTGGAGAATTATCAAGATAGTTTTCACCAGAATGCTAAATTGATCAAAATCCAATAATAGAATCTACTTCAAAGAATCAGACAATTTTCAGGACTGATAGCGCTCTGCACTCATACTCAATTTTAAAAGAAGCTTGAGAAGTATGTAGATAGCACTGATAAACTAAGGAAGTAGGTATTGAAATTAAATCCTCAGGCAGAAAGTTATAATGACATTGTTTCTACAATAGCTATCAGAGAATCTTAGGTATAGTCTCTGACAAAAGACTATACTAATAACTCTTCATCAAACTCTCCATTTAAATTTAGCAACAGTGTTATAGGCAGCAGTGAAGATTAGAATAATGGAGTTTTTGAGTACGAGAACAAGTTTTCAAAACTGGTTGAGTAGTATGAATATGACGTGATTTCAAATGAAATCAATGAAGATCAGAAATACTTCAACGGACTGAAAACTATGATTATAGAGGAGTTAAAGTAATATGAGGGAATAAAAGAACTTGAAAAATAAGAAGAATTAGAATTTGAGTTAATTCTTCATTATTTGCAGTTTGAAGAATCGACTTAGCGATACATAGACATCTACAAGGCATCAGCCCTATTTAATAAAAACAGGTATTTATACAGGACTAAGTATTAGAAGCAGATATTACAGAAAGTCAAAGATTGCTGCATTAAACTCACAAAACTGAAACACGTCTGCAATTTCTACGATGACATCATTAATAGCTAAGCAACGGATATAGATGATATGAACAAAGAGATCTAGATGTTTACGATTGCATAACCAAAGCATTAAGCTAAAATAGAGACTTTATATTAGCAACTAAAATAAGAAATTTTACAGCTTCAACAATAATCATTTTCTATATACAAGGATTTAGAGAATTATAATACAAAAATAGGTGAGCTGGTCAGATAAAATCTTAATATTAAGCAAGCTAAACTCTAATTTTAAAAACTTGATAATCAACTTAATGAATAAGAAAGCATTATTAAATCAGAGATCGAATAAAAAGCTAGAACACTGTTCCTACTATTTAATTAATTAAGAGATGAGTTAGCAAGATCTGATCTATATAAATAAATTGAGAGCTAATTAGAAAAAAATTAGTAAATCACAACAGACGCAGCTCTCTATGGGTTTGATACTACAAAAGGAATGGAAATTGAAAAAGATCTCTTGATGTTAGGGGAAGAGTTTGAAAAGGTTGAGGAAGAGAAGGGATTCCTGGAAGTTGAGGATGAAGACTTGTTTATTCGCATGTTCCAGCACTACGCGGCACAAATTTATGATCATGAAGATTCTATTAACCAATAAAAAAATGCTAGTTTCCTCAATCAAAGAACATAGGACTTTAACAATATTTTGGAGCAATTTTAATCATTAGAGAACTAGATCATTCAAGTTAAAAACAACCTTCTCGAATTGTAGACCTCTTTTACCACCAAACTTACTGAACTCAGGAAAACTTATAGTGAGTCAAACCATAACTATTCATAAAGATTATTTGCTTTATTCAAAAGGATAACAAAACTAAATGACAATTTTAGAAAGATTCAGGACAATAAGGTTTAGGATTGCTATACATATACTTATGAGTAGTTGATAGAGTAGAAATTGAATTTAAGCTAAGACATTGATGGTAGTTTAATTGATGTCGGATAAGTTAAAGAGGAGCTGAAAGCAATTGCATAGGAAAGTGATGAGGTTAAAGTCTTTATTAAACAACTTGAATTTATGATATTTAGCTCCCCTTCCAGTGAAATTATGCTTTAGCCTTTAGTTCTTGGAGATTAGTTTACTAAGTATGATAAGAAACTTTATGAAATTTTGAATGATGAATAAGACAATTTCCATCAACAGAACTAACATGTTTAGTAGCCTATTTTATACCAAATGCAAGTAATGAATGATATGACTTCTCCTTCGATCAAAGATCTTAAGAAGACTAAGTCCTCATAGAATTTTGGTATTTATTCAATCCTGGGATATACTGGATGCCAAGGAATTCAAGGATTACTCTTGGGGTTAGAAGATTACAACCAATTCAAGCTCAAATTTCTAGATGATGAAGAGCATCTTGCTATTAAAATGAGATCTGGATTCTATATGAGAATTGACAAGCTAGGCTTTTACAAGGATGAACTCCAATTACCTCAAAAGTATGGATTTAGTGTGATCAATTTGAAAAAATAAAAATGATTTATCACTTTTTCCATTTGATTATATGATATTTTAAAATAAATGTTAAGACTTGATATTGACTAGTGGGGTTTTGGGGTTTTGGGGTTTTGGGGTTTTGGGG